ATTTATAGGATTAGAAAATTTTTTCTCAACACTTTCACTGGAATGTTGGGATCACATAATGTATTCTGGATGACACAATTCCAAAAATGTATTGAGACTTGCCACATAGTATAATATGCCTTTAAATGCTTATAAATTTTGAAAATAATGAGTACTTATCAATTATTAAATATAATATCCCATAGTCATTTGTACTATCAAGTTGCTGATTTGTAGTATTTCAATCTTCTAATTTTTATTGAATCATGAACCTTAAAAGAATATTATGGTAAATATTTTACTATGATGAAATTTGGTAGTATAATTTTTGTTACAATGTATTTTGAAATTTAAGTTTCAGATGAGATTGTCTTCTTGGTCTATTGAAATGTTTATTCCTATTATTGCTTTAAAGTAGGATAATTTAAAGTAGGTAAAGGATTTTAAAGTAGGATAACTTGCAAAATTTTATCAAAATTATGAGTAGTAATTTCCTGGTATAAATTTTTTTATTTACTGGTAAGGTGTTAAATTGTAAACTTAATACTTTTCTTGCAAGCAGTGCAGAGATCAGTTTTGTTTGGCAAAATGTAATTGTTGATTCTAAATGGAGACACAATAATTTTTGTTAGCACTTATGTTATTATTCAATATTCAGATTTTAAAAATAGTTTATTTCTATTTGTCTACTTTTTAGGCTTCATTGTACTCCTACTATTTAAAATTGATCACCTTTCCTCATTCTATTTTTTTCTATTTTGATACTTCAACATGTTAGAAATAGTAAAGTGAGACAGAGCTCATTCACGTTTAGAACAGTATTTTGAGATTCTTTCTGAAATATTCAAGACCTTACTGTAATTTACTTTTGATATTTTTTGTTTTGTATGCATTAATATATCTAAAATTCTACCTTTTAAATTAAAATTTTAAAGTACATTATCATTTTGTTACTCCTTTTGCTGCCACTGCTCAGTGAATTTTTTCTACACGTTTTATCCTAGAATTGTTCTTACTGTAGACACTCAATATTTTTCTAAGAAAAGTCATCATTTTGTTCCTTTCATGAAGATCTTTTCCTTCAATTATACAACTCTTGTCCTTTATTTTAGTTTATTCAGTTGGGTCTTTGAATTTGTTAAACTATTCCATACTTTTGCTCTTTAACCAATCTGCTGAGTTCCTATTCTTTTTTAACTGTTAAATGTTTATCATTTTAGATACTTTCTCTTTGCTAAGACACAATATTGTGTCTTAGCAAAGAGAAAGTATCTAAAATGTGTGTGGCTTGTTTCAATGCCCCACAGTAGGACTTTTTGAAGGTGGCTGGATTTAGGTGCGCACGCACATCTGAGATCACCAATGTGAAGCTGGGGTTGATTCCCTGGTGCTAGGATTAAAGGTGTGAGTGCTATACCTGCCCTAAGGGACAGAGAGAGTCACTGTGCTCCTGCAAGTTAGGACTGCAACCTCTACAAACTCCGGGCCAAACTCTGAGCCAAATAAACCTTTCATTCCTTAACTTTGTGTGTCGGATATTTTGTCTCGGCAGCTAGAAATGTAGCTAAAACAATACCCAATAGCAATTAAAGAAGGAAAGGTCTATTTTGTCTCCTGGTTACAGCCCATGGCTGCCTGGTACCAAGGCATAAACGTCATGGTAGGAGACTTGGTGAGAAGACAACTCTGGAAATCAGAAAGTAAAGGAGAAGCCAGGGAGAGAGGTCAACCAGAGATCCACCAGGGATCTCTCTCTCCTATTAAGTTCCACCTGCCAGCAGCACATTCACAACTGAGTGACTCCACCCATGAATACACCAATGAATACAGTGATCCACCACTTTCCAAACACTTTGGGGTCCCTTAACCACGTTGTCTCTAAGACACCTAGCTCATTTCCTGATTTCCAGATCTATTTTATCCTTTTTAGAATATTGAGATATTTAGCAGTACCTTCAATGTTTCTTTTTAAGTGAGTTACGCATACTTTACTTTCATTCACTATCTAATTATTGAAGTGTCTGCTGGATTTGTGTTTTTGTTTGTTTTTTGAGACAAGGTCTCACTATGCAGTCCAGGTTGGCCTTGAACCCAATATATAGCCAAGATTAGCCTCAAATTTGTGGTGATCCTCCTGCCTCAGCCTCCCAAGTGAGTGCTGGAATTATAGATATGTGCCACCTTGCCCAGATTTTGCTGTATTTCTTAAGTAGTTTTTTCTGTGTTTCTGCTACTTTCTTTTATGTTTTTTTTTTTTTTTTTTTTTTTTTTTTTTTTTTTTTTTTTTTTTGCTGTACTGGGGATTGAAACGAGAGATGCTTTACACTGAGCCATATTCCTAGTCATTTTTATTTATTTTTTTAAATTTTGGGACACATTCTCCATAAATTACTCAGGCTGACCTTGAATTTGCAATTCTTTTGCCTCAGCCTTCCAAGTAACTGGGATTACAGATGTGTGTAACTGTGCCTAGATAATGACTTTTAGATAAATGTGGGGTTTTTCTTATTTTTTTTAAATTTTTTGCCTTTAGTCATCTAAATCTTATTTGAGTACTCCTGTGGCCTGTGTTTAAGATGTTTAAGAGATTTTGGCTGTGCTTCAGCCAGGTGTTACAAGAAGAAAAATAAATTACTAGACTGAGTCTTTGAGGGATTAGAAAGAAAAATGTTACATATTCTGGCTTCAAATTTATAATGAGAATAGATTTTCATTTTAAAAACTTGCTTTTCAAAATATGACTTTATGAAATTGTTTAATGGCATGTGAAATTTCCCATAATATACATTAAATTAAATTCTAAAATAGGTATATTATGCTCATATTTTAATAAAAGAAATAGCTATTTATACAGGCATATACATCCAAATGTTAGTGCTAGTAGGTTTATAGGTGCTATGTTATTTTCTCTGTAACTTTCTGTATTAACCAAATATTTCAAAGAACATTTATTTTACATTTTATTTTGCGATTTAAAATTATTTTCATCTTGAGAAAAATCGTATAGACATTAAAATTACTTTTTCTCTGTCAGAACGGCTAATTTTGGCCTGTAGTTTACAATTAGACGATATTAGAAACGACTTGGATTTCTAAATGCATATTGAACTGGATACATTCCTTTTGATTTTCTCTAATTAAGTGGAGCTTTACTAAAATAATAATTATGAAACTTTATTTCTGATTTTATTGTTTTGTTTCCATGTCCATAATTTTTCATTAGACTGTGGTCTCCTGCTCACATACCTATTTAAGATATGGAGAAAGCAATAGAGCTTGAATTATTATCTTTTTGGTTGGCAACCAAACAAGTTTAAATAGAGTAGATGTTTGAATATTAAAATAGTTGGTGTTTCCTCTAAAAAATACCAAAATAGTACTGAAATTCTAGAAGTTTATCTAGTCTTAAAAAATCACTTTAATAACTTTACTTGTTATATAATGATAGTTTGACATTTTTGAGATTATAATTTTTTTCATTTTAAAGATGTTAATTTATATAAACAAAACAATTATAGATTATAATCTCTACACTGTAAGAACATACTTTTGGATATCTTCAAAGATAAGCAGATTGAATTTATTTTAAATAACAGCATGATTTAGGGAAATGAAAAACATTATGTAAATTTTCCCTACTAAATAGATTTAACAGTTTCACTGACTTATTCTTTTTAAAAAAGCATGGAGTAAATTCTTCATGTATCTGTCCATCTATCTTTTAGTATTAGTGTTGGTATCAGTATCAGTACGAGTATTAGCATTAGCATTAGTATCAGCATTAGGTTTCTCAGCAATTTCAACATGTGGACACAAAGACCTCAGCACCATATTAAAAGTCACACTTTTACCAATAAAATGTGGCAATCTGAGGTGAACCATTACACTAGTGTTCATTTTTAGTAAAAAGTCTGACAGAACAGTGGTAATGATGGACCCTGGAGCAGTAACCATACAGCTCAATTTTTGGAGGAGGTTCAATTCAGTGTTAGTTATATTTCCATTGCTATAACAAAATACCTGAGAAGATCAACTTTATAAAGAGTTAAAGTTCATTTATGCTCACAGCTATGATGGTTACAATCTGATTAGTTAGCACCTTTGCTTTGGAGGGTAAGGCAGCACATCTGGCATTATCACAGATCATCAAAAAACACTCACAAGACCTGTTTTCCTTTGATGGGACAGAGCAAAAGAGTTGATATAGAGGCCAGGAAACAAAGAAAAAGAAGATCAGGGGAGCAGTCACATAGTTCACTTTGAGGGAATATCCTCAACAACTGAAAGACCTCTTATCAGCCAAATTCTCAAAGAGACCACCATCTCTCCAGCCTGGGAATCAAGACATTTACCCAGGAACCTTGGGGGAACACTCAAGGCCCAAGCTGCAGCAGTGGTGATCTCAAATGCAGAGATGGTCTGAAATTCATTCACCCTGAGGAGTAGGAGACCCTGCTTAGTAGCTGTTGTAACTGAATGCTATGATCATCTTTATATGCTGCTTTCACATAGTTTTCATTCACAGAATAGTGAAACAGGAAAACTGTAATAATCACAAGGAAACAGCCTCTCAGAAAAAGGGAATAGAGGTGAATTTAATTTCATGAACAAAAGGAACATGTCTTCTTTCCTACTTACAGTTTAGCCAGGTCTAAACTGTGTTCTGTGTTCTGTGTACTTTTTATAGCTTCTGTGTATTAGAGGTTTTGATATTTGTGTAAAAGTGGTCTTATCTTTTGGTTTTGGTGGAGGTAGCATAAGATCAGCTTTGGGTGTAGGAATCGATATGTCTTCTGTATGCTTTTCCAAATAGCTGAGACTATCTTTAAGTATCTGCCATCTTTTCCTCCGCTAAGAGCTTCACTGAATTTAATATTGATCTCATGGGAGGGCAGGGGACTGTAGGAGTATGGGTGATTTTTGACCTTTATCTCTTGGTGTATGTGTTCATCATGGGACACAGCAACAGTTTCAGCATCTTCTGGATCTTCCAAAGTTTCCATTTCTATGTCTTCCATTAGGTGCCCCAGGCAAGCCACACCATCTGGATTACGTAGTGCCCTTTGGACTCCATCATACTGACAAGTGATGGTGATGCAGGCTTTATCACCCCTGTGCACAAATGCTGGCAACGTGAAGGCATCCCCCGAAGGTAATAAGCCATGCTGTACTATTGTTCTGTAGTCTCTTCCTATGTCTTAGAGTTGGAACTGAGCAACACATCCACATCCAGCAGCGGCCGCTTTCAACACAGGACTGAACTGCAATGGAGGATCACTGGAGAAAAGCACACAGGTTAGCTCCAAAACATGAACATCACTACACATCTGGAAATAGAAAATATATACCAGCCATGCAACATTCGGTGTCCAGGTCCTCCTCTCCACCTTCCCACAGTAAGCCAAGCCACTACCTCACTGTCCTCGGTGGATATTAGGATGACTGTTCCTGTTTTGGTTTCCCTTTGAGAATCTCCTGATAGCCCCAGCCAGATCTCTTCCTGAATTGGTCCCATGCTGTTTTGAGGCTGGCAGATGCCCCCAGTGTACCTCCTGGCTTTAAATCTTCTTCACTTCTGTACAGCCTCGAGTTTTCCATTGTTTTGCTCTCTGAGAGTTCTTTCTCACTTTCTTATTTGTGTATAAAACATAGTGTTTAGAAAATATGTGTATCCAGGCATTTTTAGCTATTTTATTTAAAAAGAAAATGTTCCTTAGTATTCCTACTTCATGAAATATAAACATGTCTCCAATAAAATTATAAAAATAGGAAACTCAATTATCATCCTTTTAAATTCTACCTTGCATTTTGCCCAAATTGCCAAAAACTTGAAAAAGTAGTTTTCAATCATTATTTCAATTTTTTTCCTTCTACTACTGATAGAACTCACCTTTCACTTTAGAATGAGTTGCATGGGAAGCAGAGACTCTGATGGAAATTTGCACGTTTATTATCCTTGGGAGCAACACCTGCAGGGGAAGGGACGATAGGATGGGCAGGGGAAGGATCTGAGCTCCAGTGCAGTTTCAGTGGAAGCCTCAGCAGATCTGAATGCAGATTCTGATGACAGATTCAAACTCCACAGCTGCCTGCAGTGGGATTTATGTCAGATTAGGCAGCTCTGGGTATGGGCACTCACAGAAAAGGCAATGTGGCCTTGGAAAAAGGAGGCTTTCTGCAGCAAACCCCAGAGGGTCTGGAACTTGAAGACCATGATGAGGTACCCTCTGAACTCTATATTCCTGAAGAGGATTGTGGGAGGCACATCTTGGAGTCTGCCACATGTACTTAAGCCAGAGCCATTTGCAGTTTAGCTGTTACAAAGGTTACTAACGACTTCCACATCCCTTAAGCTACAGATGATCCCTTATCTTTTTATTTTTAAATAGTCATGCAGTTTTCTTTATCTTTTCTTACTTTTTAAATTACTGTCTCATTTGGCTTTTTTAACACAACTCTCTCCTCTTTCTCTCAGCTTGTGACTTGATTCGGTGTCTCTTTTTCTGGATCATTCTTCTCTACAGTCAGTCTGGGCTTCGCCCCAGCTGCTCTGCTCTCCTGCTTCACATTCTCTCTTGAGGTGATCTTGTTTATATGCCTAGATAGAAATTTTTTTAAAGTATATAAATATTTTACTAAAATCCCTGTACAACCGAATTGTGTTCCAGAAAAGAAATCAGTAGCAATGTACAATACTAGTAGCAATACGTGTTTATATCCGTAAGGATTTCTATATTAATAATAAAGAGAAAGTTTGATAATGGTTTTATCTTCAATCTGAGTGCTTGGAACTGTAACTTGCTCAAGATTATCTTGAGTTTTATTGTAACTCAGTGAAACTTTAGTCATATGAGTTTATATTCGGTGGATTGGAAAACATGGACCTCTTACACAGGCTTGCATACGGAAGAAACTGGAGAAATAAAGAAATCTTTATTTTATACAAGTAATCACTATTTCATCAGATATGATAGATTCAGCAATAAATATCATAAAACTCTGCTCTACCCTGTCTTTATAGAAGGAAATAATTTCTTTCTTTCTTTCTTTCTTTCTTTCGTTCTTTCTTTCTTTCTTTTCTTTTCTTTCTTTCTTATTGGTACTGGGGATCGAACTCACAGGCATCAGCTTGCAAGGCAGGCACTTATGCCACTGAGCTAAATCCCCAGCCCAATACATTATTTCTAATAATGAGAAAATTTAAAAACTGGCCTGCGTGCCATTAGGCTCCCATGCCCTAATCTAATTGCATGGTATGAATAAGTCTGGTGATTCTATCAGGAGTCCTAACACCCTCCCTAACACCCCCAGGGAGCCCCCCCCCTCACTTCTATCATCCATCCCTCTGTGCTTGGTTTCCTCTTGTGATCACAAATGGTTGTAGCACTGATGTCATCTTGGTAATGCAGTGATTATCTGGAAGTGCTAATGACTAGTGACAACACAGGGATTACCTGTGTCCCCTGCATTTGGGAAGGTATTATTATTCATCACCTTTGTTCTCTGGTCTGAGCCAATTCCACTAGACATATCCCCATGTCTAGCCTTACTCTTAACTGGATTCCCCCCTTGCAGGCTCCTGTGTCTCATGGAGTCTTGCCTGGTTCCCAAACACCTCTCAGGAGAACTGTGACAGCAAAGAAAGAAAGGAGGTCCCTAAGTCACACAAATGAGCATTGCATAGAAGCTACTTACAGTTTAAAACATAGGTGTTTCACAGCCCACTGTAAAGTAGAAAAATATTTTATTCATTGAAATAGAATTTCAAATTATTTATCTTCAGAAAGACAGTAGCAACCATGTTAAACTTTCTTGTTCAATCCTGAATAAACAGTGGCTGATCTGAATTTCAATCATGTAAATGGCTTTTTAAAAAGACAGTGTATTTCAAGGTTAATTTTGTTTGCAATTTCACACAAAATTGTATCTTATTACTTAAGTCTAGTTTTGAGGTTCAGACTGATTCTGACCCATCTTGTTGTCACATGGCTGAGAACCTTGACTCACATAACAGATAGCACAAGTGACAAACATTTCCTGATATTCTCTAGGCTCAGACAAAAACCGAGGAGAGAAGTCCCAAATGCTGCTAGGCAAGGGACATGCTGGAATGCTAGGGTCACTAATAGGTCATCTGGGGACAAAATTCAGCTCTTCCAGAAAAACGTAAACAGATCTAGACAGGGTCACTAATTTATGTGTCTCTGAGGCCGTTTGAGTTTTGTGTTTCTTGGTGTTTTGAAGCCTCTGCAAAGGAAATCATCAACTGTACCATTTAGGTTACTTCTACTCAGTCAACCAAAGGGGTCCTTCCACAGAGCCTTCTAATAGGTTCACCAGATTCTACCACTGAGTCTGGAAATTCCTCATTCACCATCTTTTCACTCATGAGAGATTTTTTAACATACTTTAACATACACCAAGTTGAGAGTCTCCATGATTCATAATCCCCAAAGTCAAATTTCCTCATTCATTTTATCTTTCTCACATTATAGTGGAAGCATATGCAGATTACCTTTGATTTAGGGCATTTAGCTTTCAGAATATGTCAAGAAAGCAAGCCAAACCTGGGTCAACAAATGTATTTGTTCAGGTTTTATTCATCTTCCTCTTTTTCTTAATTTCCCCTGTAAACCTGAAAAAAAAAAAAAATGTGTAAGTTTGAAAATTCTGTTCAGCACCTCCCCCTGACTCTGCCAGAATACCAGTACATTTTCATTTTAATGCAAATTTTCTAATGAGCATATATTCAAAGTGTGATTTTAAAATTGTTTTAAGAACACTTAACCATTTTTATTACCTCAGTGAAAAACTGAAAAATATGAAAAAAAAAATGAGTTATGCAACGAGTTCTTGGTGAGTGATACAGTGGTTTTTGGAAATTTTCTCTAGCCTTGATGTATGCAATGAGTTAGGTAGTTTTATTTACTTGTGATTTTTCCTTTCCCTGTAGACATTTATTTATATGTTCTTCAGGCAAAAAGTGCTACCCTGACAAAATAACTTCCACAGGTACAAATCTTAATAAAATTTTTATATAATAAGTAATATATTTTCAGTTAACATGTATTTGTAGATAAAATCATTATGAATGTACAAATTCAAAATATAATACTACTTAATTTTCCTGAGAGACCAAAATCTTGCAAGCACTTTTGCTTTTGGTCTTTAAATTTTGTTATTTGAAAATGCTCTGTGAGGAAAGTAATTTTTCATTCAGTTTTTCCATCTCTATTTGCCTTTAGTTGTGCCATTTCTGTTTGCCAAAAGAAAAATTATATTTTATATCTGAAAGTTAGCACTTTCATTACTATTTCCTTGTTTTTGTATCATCTTTCAAGATGATTCTAAAAATGATCATCAAACTCATCTTTTGTTTGATTTTAAAATTTTTACTTTTTATTTTTTATATCTTTCATCTGTTGTTTTTTTTCTTCAAAATATTCATGATTTGTCTTAAAATTGCTTTAAGAGCAATGTAGATCTATAATTCTAGATAATTTTATTTTTTCCTCTTGTCACAAGAGACTTCAAGCTTTGTACTCCTGTTAGCACTTACAGTGGTGTAAGCCTTGTTTTAACTGAGCTGTGAGAAGCATCTCATGTCTTGCTGTTTCAGCTTCTCTCATGAGCCAGGTCATGAATGATCCTGCCATCTCAATTACACAGATTGTATCACGTACCTGGACAAATTCACACTGTTCTGGGCGTTCTTGGAAACACGGTCCATAAAATTTAAGACTTTTACCTGCCAATCTCATTCTCACCTGAAAATAGATTTTAATCAATTTTTTTAAAATTTAAAGATAGAAAGTGAAGAATGTTACAAAAATCATAGCAGGCATAAATTATCAAAGAATTCCTGTGGTGAGAAATGAAGCTTCTATGTTGCTGATCTATTATGATGTTTCCCTGGTTTGTGAGGTCTGATGTTTTCTGAAATTAACAAAAGACAATCAAATCAAGAATACTTGTTTAAGTTTTAGTACATGATCCTTCACTCACTTTCCAAATCAGACGAGCAAAGATTTCACTTCAGTAGTTGCTATATAAGTTAATCACTAACTTCTCAATTCCTCTGTTACACATCAACTGTTTTTGCTTCCCCAGCCTTCACAAGAGAATATTCACAGTGTCTGAAATCAAGTGGGA